CCTGCATCTCCTTACTCCTCCCTGCGCCCCCATAAATCCCACAGGTCTTTTCGATGTCCCTGTCTCTCTGGCTTCTTCAGGACAACACAGAGTTGGAGTCATGGAGTTTGTCCTTATTTTAAAGTGGTTTCTTACAGAAGATGCAAAGTTGTTAATGCATCCTGTGAGCTCTGTGTTCTGAGGGATGAGTGAGACCATTAGATCCCACATGTTGACAAGGTCACATTTAGGATTACTATTTTGTTATTTGTTTGGGTGTTACCTAATTTGGACTGCTTAAGACTATCAGTGACAAAAACCACTGTGGTCATGTGTCTGGGGGGCAGATGCTGATGAAGCTGAGCTGCCTTGGGCTGGGCGGACCCTGGGGCCATTCTGCTCAGTGCGGCTCTTAGGCTTCTAATGGGCCATCACAGGAGTGGTCCATTGTGCCTCTAAGAGAGTGGATGGCAGTTCAGAACATGCAGGACTTCCCAACCTGGGCTCCACGCAGGCAAAGCAACACCCGTTCCTGTTCTGTTGGCAAAGCAAGGAGCAGAGGTGTCCCTGGAGACAAGGGGCTTGGATGTACACCTGGCTTTTCACGGAGAAGCAGATGAGTCAGAGGACAAGGGAATCAACACCTCCCTCTACCACAGTTCTGAAATCAAACCACCAGGCTTAGATAGGTGGACAGACAATGGGTGGACCCCTACAGTATATGCATATAGGAAAGTCTGATTTAGAAAGAAAGGTCAGCAAGGTGCAGTGGCACACTCCTGTAATTCCAGTGGCTTGGGACACTGAGAAAGGAGGATCGTGAGTTCAAAGCCAGCCTCAGCAAAAGTGATACACTAGGCAACTCAGTGATTTTCTGTCTCTAAATAAAATACAAAATAGGGATGGGGGTGTGGCTCAGTGGTCCAGTGCCCCTGAGTTCAACCCCTGGTAGCTCCCCAAAAAAGAGGAAAAACTACTCTTCCATGAGAAAGAAAGGGAATATTGAGGAATGAGCTCAAAGTTCCCACCACAATGTGGCCACTGTCATTTGTACCATTACAGAGAGGTAACGTCACCCAGGGTAACATGTTCCCACCCTATGGTGGGCATTCCCAGAAGAGACATGGAGGTGTGCTGTGTACGCTGTTCTTGGGATGGTAAGAATTTTCCATTTTTTTCCTTCTGCACCAGGCGAGTGGGTAGATGTAAATGACTCCAGAGCCCTGCTGTCCAACTGGCACCCACAAGTGACTTGTAGACACTGAAATTGAAATTATGAAATAAAGTAAAATAAAAATCCAGCTCCCTGGCGGCTCCAGCCACATTTCCCTTGCTGGACAGCCCCACGCGGCTGCCGAGGAAAACAACACAGAGGAAGGTCTGGCCACCCAGGAGGCTCTTTGTTGGACAGCTCCAATCTGCAACAGGGAGCTTCCTTATGTCACCTCTGTGCCCTGTGGGGACACAGGTTGTCATAACACGCAGTGCTGGTTTGGGGTTGGCATGTTGGCATCAGATGCTAACGTAACCTGGTAGTGCGGTTCGAATGCTGAGGTTTAAGTCAATATGTGGGGAGAGATCATGAAAACCAGAGGTGTCCAAAAATGAGAAAAAACAATGTGTCATGTGAAAGTACGAAAGAAATAGCTTTTTAAAATATTGAGGAAAAGGCTTCATACAGAAGGCTGGGAGCAGGCTGGGACGTCTTCCTCCAGGACTCTGTGCAGCATGGTTTTCTAAGGCAGGTGACTCCATAGAACCAAGTCTGCAAACTTACTCTGATTTTAAATGTCGTGTTGAGACTTGGTCAAAATAGGGAGAAAAAATTTGTGTGCAACATCATAAAACCATCTCCCTCGCCACTCGCATTTTTATTTGTGGGTTGATGGGAACATGCCGTATATGGAGGGTGGAGGGAGCAAGAGGAGAGGACGCCTGGGTACTTAAATCCAGACTCGGGAACATTGCTGTAATTCTGATTTAATGTCAGCTCTGTCAGAATCAAGCTCTCATCTTCTCCATGCAAAAGATAATTTATGTCTTAATGGCATGAACACTTTACCTCCCACTGTTTTTTAAATCACATTCAAGCCCATATCCCTCTTTTTAGAATACTATATGTTTCACTTTCACTTAGAGGTGGCTGTGTGAATTATAAAGTGTCTCAAGCTCAAAAGCAATCATATCTTAATTTTTAAAGTTTATCAGACAAAAAAAAAGCAGAGCCTTCCAGCTGCAGAGTGGTGAAATGATCCTGACTTATGGGATAGATATCTGTCTTCTTTAACCCTCCTCTGCCTCAGGAGAGAGACAAGGACCCGGTTCCTCAGCTGGGGGAGATCACCTCTCATTCCCCCTTTTCTTTTTTAGTAAAACATTTCATTTTGGTGGGGGCTAATTATAGTTCCTTCTGGATTTGATTTTCACTTGACTTTGGAAAAACGTAAATTATTTTTGTTAAGATCAAACAGCTCTGGAGGCGTTTGGTAAAACTTAAACACAACCTACTGTGTGGTATGTGGATTGTGGGTCTGAGTGTGGTTTCCTCTCTGACCTAGGTGGGAGCTGGGATCTTGAGGAGGAGAGCCCCCAGTCCCAACTACAGGGGCTACTGTAACACACAGATCCATGGGTGAAGACCCAGTGGTAGAAATGAGGCCCCACGTCTGGCCCCAGAGCCCAAGGGGAGGAATTGCTGGGGCCAAAGTGGAAACTGCTCTTTCTGACTCAGTGTCTGGTTCTCACTACAGCCTGAACGCCCCTCATCAAAGTCTGGAAAGAGACTTCCCCCCACAAGGCCATTTCAGATAAAGCAAATATCTGAAATAGAGCACTTTTAGGCTCCTAAACAGCAAGGTTCTTTCCCAGGGAAACCATTGAACTAAAGGAAAAGTTTAAAAGCAGACCTTGGAGGGACAGTGAGCCAGGCCAACTCTTCCCAGCACGAGGAGGTTGCAGGAGGGTGACTGTGCCTCTCGGAGGAGTGATGGTGCTTTAAAGGAAAGCAGCCTCCTGGTGTCTCTGGTCTCTGCACCTCCTCCTCCTTCCACCAGAGAACTGGGAACAGGGTGGTTTTCTATGACATGCTTACTGGACAGTTGAAATGAATGACAGCTGCATTGTGTTGATCCATGGCTGCTTCTTAAACCTTCGTGAGCATCTTATGGTGCCCTCTGAATTTCATTCCACACCTTGCAGACAGGGAACCTCATGCACCTGCAGTCTGGTGCAATAAGAGTGACTTTTCCCCTGTCTCCTACCTTTGGATGGAATTGTGGCCTTCTGAGGACCCTGGAGGGGCTGGAAGGATGGGTCAAGCCGCTTGAAACTCTGTTGCTAGACCTGGGTCACAGTCTGTGCCTGGATGGATTGCAATATTAACACAGGGCTTTGTAACAGATTCTCCCACAAGAGTCACACACAGAGGTGGGACCTATGGGCCAGAGACCCCCTCAAATCAGGTTAGGAGGCAGATTGGTTCTCAGGGCCCCTTGGTTCTCTGAGCTACTGAACAAGCCCTGGAGACAGTAACTCCCTCTTGGTGCATTCAGATTCCTCTTCACACCTGCTGCGTTCCCTCAAGCACTCCTCCCTCTGTGCCTGTTTCTCTTCTGTGTGGACACATTCCTATTCTTTGGTTCCTTTATTCTTTCAATTGAAGTTCCTTAAAATAGTTACTTAGCTTTAAATTTTCTCCCACAGATCTTTGTAATAAGAAGCCTGTCCTCGATGTTACTGGGTGCCATTATGTTTGGCTCTAACAATCTACTCGTTATGGTTTAGCAGAGAGGTGTCCCCAAAAGATCACATGTGAGACAATGTGAGAATGTTCAGAAGTGCCAGACTGGATTGTAAGCGCTGTAGCCTAATGGGTGGATCACCCGCTGACGTGCTTTCTTGGGGTGATGAGTGTGGGTGGGTAGGGTGGGACTGGAGGGGGTGGCTGATGGGGTGTTCCTGATGAATGGAGCTCTGTCTCCGGGTCTCATGCCTGGGCGTCCTTCCTCTGGGCACCTCTGCCCTGATGTTCTGCTTCATCCTGGCCCAGGGCAATGGAGTTGGCCAACCACAGACTGACCTCTGAAACAATGAGCCAAAGTGAACTTTTCTTCCCGTATGTTGTTCTTGTCAGATCTTTTTGTCACAGCAGGGAAGAAGCTGCCTTGCACCCTGCCAGACACTGGCCCAAAGTGTGGTGCCGCCTCCTCTTCCCACCAGCAGTGCAGGGTGGGCAGTGCCTGCACCATGGCCAGTGCTGGGGAAGCCTGTCTCAAATATCAGGCCTTCTGAGAGTGCTAGGAGCCTCACACTTGGCTCTGGCCCACATTTCCCAGAACTTGCGGTGCTGAGTGTCTTGGCTCTGTGCTTATTTGCCATCTGTTTATCTCCTTCAGTGAAATGTCTCTTCACATAATTTCCCCATGTTTAGTTGAACTTGGGAGAGTTTTTCAGGCACTCTGGACACAAGTCACTTATGTTATTTCTAGATCTTTTCCAGACTTGGACTTCCCCCTTTGCTTCTGTTTTAGGAGTATTGCTACCAAGACCTCCCTAAGGGATGGCTGGTGGAGAGAATGGAGCGGGGAAAACTACGTCGAGGCCTTTGGTTGGTGGTGGGCTCTGGGGGGGTACAAACCCATCATGCCAGTGTTTTCTTCAAGTCATTAGTGGATATTTTCTGCAATATTTGACTTAGGCTATAATTTAAAACCATCGGCCCTTCACAGCTGGCCTGTGAACAGCTGCAATGGCAGGTCAGTGGACGATATCCCTTCCCACAAATAGGCACAGGGTGACTCAATATTCACCCCCAGAAAAATGAGCTTTGTTCCATGTTCTGTGCCGTAGACAAATACTAACTCAAAATGAATCTGAAACACTAGTGTAAAACTACAAACAATAACACTTCATGAAAAAAAAATGTATGAGAATCTTTGTAATCCTTAATTAGATACACTCTAGATACAGTTTAGATCCTGTCTTAGATACAGTATAAAAAATACTTAACAAAATCTGGGTAATAATGATTTTATTAAAATTAAAAGTTTTGCTCTTTAAATGGCAGTTCTCCGCATGGATAAGTTGTACTGCAAGAAAGTAGTCTATGCTTGGTGATTCACTTCTTGACTGAAAATTCTGTAAAGTGAAAACTTATCTATAGAC